GTCTCCTCCGCCGCAGCCGCCTCCCTGTCGCGGCGAGCCGGTGACCTCTAGTCCACTGCGCGCGCCGTCCACCGGGAGCCAGGAGCACCGCGCAGCCGCCCCATCCTCCCCGGTTGCGCCGCTCTCAGGGCAGGAGGAAGGGCCGTGGCGCCGGCCGCTGCCGCTCGGTCAAGTCCAGCTCCTGTTTGTGCGAGCCCAGCCGCGGCCCCCCGAACTCCCCCCGCCAGCCTCTGGCTCCGCCGCCGCCCACACCGCGGTGGCCGCTGTCCGCTCCAGACGGCCGCAAGTGGCGCGGACCAGCACGACCGCGGCCCCCGCAGAGCGACCCGGAGGGTTTGCCGCCACACACCTGAAGCAGGATCGGGCGTAACCCCGGAAGTCATTTCAAGGCGCCAGTGCCCATAGCGGGGAGGTGCGGGCTGAGGTCTTCGAGTCCCAAGTCCGTGGAGGTTGAAGGGCGACGGGGGCCGAGGAAGGGGAAGGACGGTGGAGAGCAGGAGCCCAGACCCGAACTCCCGGGACTGCGGCTTCTGCTGACCACCGAGGGGCTTCCTGCACAGGAAGTTGGGTCGAGCCCCTGTTCCTCTTACAAAAGCAGAGAAATAAGAGGGTGGCGGCTCCTCAATGCGCCTTCTTGTCATGAGTTGATTGAAACAATAATTAGTTTGCTTTAAATTCTGTGTAGAAAATGAACAGCTACTTCATTTCTTCTATAGGTGATTTCTAGAAAGCATTGTTTTTTGTAATTGCTATGTATTTTGTACAGTGTCTCTACAGTCCAATGCCTTTTAAAGAAGATTGCGGTCTTTAAGGCATCCATATATCTTATCGTTTATACTTTATTATGTTTTAGTTGTTTATCGAAGATGAAAATAATTGCTAAACAGGAATTTTTGAGAAAAGCCTCTTTTTTCACTTTCTGTAAGCAGTTCTTCTGCATGTAGTGGCTTTCCATGATGATCTTATTAAAATGTTTGAACTGAAAAAAATCCCATGGACTGTAGAATGGGAATGAATCTTTACTCAAAACTTAAAGCAAAATGAAATGTTTTCATCCTAATGTTTCAGAGTAAATTCATTGAAATACCTTAGTTTCTTTGGTAGAAAATCAATTAAAACTTCTGTAATTAAAATTTTTTTTAATTAAAAAATATTTGTGAAGAATACTTGTTAAGATCTTATACTAAATTTTATTTGAAATGCTATAACTTACTGGTATTTTAAAAGAATTTAATTTTGATAATTATAGTGTGTTAAATGCTGAACAAAATGGGGGGAGGAAAAACATATTAAAAGTAGTAAAAAAAAAAAAAACCACAGTGGGAGGTGATATGACTAAGACAGGCTAGAATACAAGTGCCAGTTCAGAGTATGAGGAAACCATGGGGCTTGTGAAGGGAGGAAAGCAAATGCTGAAGGCAAATCACAGCACATTTAGTATGCTATTTTCCCCAAATGTACTACAGCAAAAACCAAATTTCCCTTCCCTTCTTCCCTACTACTCTCTTCTTTCCAAACAGCATGTCCTTTTCTGCCTTTGTTCAGATCAGCCTTCAGTATGTCTTTGGTCTTGACCCAGTGTACCTGGCCCGGGCTTGGTACTCTCCTGAGATCTTGTATTGCTTACTCCTTTTCCCCACATCTAAAATACTTTACTTTCTTCACCTTTTAAGTTCTGTTCTATTTAAAATCCCATTCAATTTCTTTTTATTTTTTCAAAATACTACTTAAAATTTCCTTGGACTAGATTTGTATCTTTTCTCTTTGCCAATAATTTTTAGAGTTTACTATTTTGATCATTAAAAAATTGAAGTACCAGAGAGGTGGCTCAGTAGTTAACAGCACTGGTTGCTGTCAGAGGAGCCGGGTTCCATTCATGGTGCCCACATGACTTAAAACCATCTGAAATTACAGTTCCAGGAGGTCCAAAGGCATTGCATGCAAATGATTCACAGACATATATATGCAGGCAAAGCACCCGTATACATAAAACGGATTTTTAAACATACGACAGTGTCCTAATCTTACTGATTTGCTATGCTAGCTATCTACTTAAAACTTACAACATTCTATAACTTACTCGGTGTAAGCTTTTTTATGACTTAATTTCAGATTCTCAGGTGTTTTTTATGCTGTTATTTGGTTTGGTTGTTCCCCATGGTGCTAGCAACTGAACCCTGGGGTTCTTGATGCATATACTTACAAGTGAGCTACAGCTTCTGACCCAACTTTGAAATAAAGACCATGTCTTCTGATTTCTAACTTTTGTACTTTTTTTTTTTTTCAGGTCCCACCCCCTTTGGTTTTTCAAGACAAGGTTTCTCAGTGTAACTTTGGAGCCTGTCCTGGAAATTTCTCTGTAAACCAGGCTGGCCTCGAACTACAGAGATCTGCCTGCCTCTGCCTCCTGGGATTAAAGGCATATGCCACCACCGCTGAGCTAACTTTTGTACTTTTTAATGGGATAATTATGCCATCTTTTTCTCTTGTTTTGAGAATATGTTTCTCTTAGTTGGTCAGAAATTGAAATAGTTAAATTGAACCAAAGTAATACATAAAACATTTCAAGCATTCCAGACATTTAGGTCAGTATCTTAATACATTGTTTGTCCTCTAGATTTCCTTCAGTTAATCCTGTAAAATTTGAATTTTTAAGCATTTCAGATGGGTTATTTTTATGCACATTTAATTTTTTATAGATATGGGGAAATTGAGACCACTCGCATATTACTAGAGAAAGGAAAGTGCAATCCAAACCTTTTAAATGGGCATCTCAGCTCACCTCTTTACTTCGCTGCTGGAGGGGGACATGCAGAAATAGTGCAGATCCTCCTAACCCACCCAGACATTGACAGACTAAGTTATTTTCTGTTTTTATATTTTAATTTTCAGCAACTAACAAGTAGTGATACAACATTTAATTGTATACTTAACATATCCACTAACACCAATCAATTTTACTATATAGAGTATAATGTATATGTTAACTGTGCTTTAATCATAAGTTTTGAATTGTTTTTTATGATAAAACACTTCACCCAAAAGGTATTCTTTTAACAACTTAGATGCAAAGTTCATAGCATTCAGTACATTTGTATTGTTATATATAGTCATTGCTTACATACATCGCCAGAAACTATGTAAAATTCATTTTTCATTTTATTACTCCCTCCCTCGAACATCTTAAAGAAAGAAAATGATTTACCCATCTTCTACAATCTGTGCTAACAATCGTTTGGTAGAAAAAAAAGTAAAACTGTGGAAACCGTTATTAAATCTATGGTTTAAATTTTAAAAAACATAATCCTACTAATTAGTGCTTTGAGTTTTTTAGCTTTTCCAATTTTTGTTTTAGTATGTATTAAGTATGGATAATATTTACTTAATCCTTAACCAGAGTATTTTATAATACTTTAATTGAATAAATTCCTTCAGAACAGCATGTATTTGTAGTATTGTTTGGTCTGTTGCTTCCTCCACCATAGCACATAACAGACCAACAAGGAAGAGCCCCCGTTAAATATTTGTGAGGAAAACAAATGAAGTGACTGGGAAGAAGCTGCAAGGTTGTTGAAAGATGTTGTTAACAAACCAGTACGAATTGTCTGAACGGCTAGAGGCAAATGTGTAAACTGATCATTTTCTGTTGCTTGTTTCACTCTCTACTCTCTGGGGGGCCGGCCACCCAGCTCCCAAATAAGCTCACACGTGGTCTTCTTCTTTCTTATCAAGGCCAGGCCTTATCTTAGCTTCTTTCTAGCTAGCTCTTCTTAAATCATCCCGTCTATCTTTTGCCTTGGGCTTTTACCTTTCTCTATTTCTGTTTAACTTTTCTTTCAGTCTTACTCCATGGTTTGCTGTGTAGCTGGGTTACTAGCCCCTGATGTCTTCCTCTCCTTGGTCTCTTGTGCTCCTTCTTTTCCCTCCAGATTTCTCCTTCTCTTTATTCTCTTAGTCTGCCAGACCCTCCTATCCTTTCTCCTGCTTCGCTGTTGGCCATTCAGCTCTTTATTAGGCCATCAAGTTTTTTAGACAGGCCAAGAATCACAAGTTCACAGAGTTAACAAATGCAACATAAAAGAATGCAACACATTTTTGCATCAAATTATGTATGATTGTATTTACTATGCTTAATATAAGTAGTTCTGCTCATTTATGTGTATTTTCCTCCAGCAACGTTTGTTTGTAAACAGCAGAATTACACACCATTCATTAATAATCTTCAGCAAGTTGGTGTATGAGGAACTCATTTTCCTCTCCACAAAAGTGAACTAGGTGCTTTCCTAGTTTTGTGTACGTGTGTGCATGCATACGTATATTGTGTGGTTGGTTGTGCTCATGTGGAGACCAGAGAGTAATGTTAGGAATCTTTCTTCACCACTTCTCCACTTGTTTTTTGAGACGGTCTCCCTCTAAAACTAAAGCCAACCATTGTGTCTAGCTTCCAGGACCCTCCTTTCTTCCCTCTAATCCACCAACTCTGGGGTTAGAGACACAAGCAGCTATTCCCAGGTCCGGGCGGGGGCTGGAGGTCGGTGTCCCTACTAGCGCCAGGCTGCCGTGGGGGGAGGGGAGGGCGGCTTTTAGCCGCCAAGGCAGGCAGGGTGGGCGGGCAAGCCTTGCACTGCTGGCCGCTGGTATGAGCTCCGAACCGAGCGAGCGTGCGAGCCCAGGCCACCTCCATCCCCGCAGCCTCCAGGTCCCCGCCCCCTCAGCCCCCGCTCCGCCCCCGGCATCGGAGACCCTGGATAAATCGGAGAGGCAAGCGCGGGGAAACAGACCGCGCGGGCGCCTGCGGCAGGCTGGCCGAGCCCCTTTTCCTCGGTCGCGCTTGAAGGTGGCGCAGGCTAGGCAGCCTAGGCATGGAGCAGCCACCATGCGCTAGAGAGTCCGCCCGCCAGTGCCCTGCTGCCTCTTCCCGTGCGCCCTCCCGCAGACGTCGGCGCCCTGGATTGGTCCCCTGGCCTCCGCCTGCAGCCCTGCCACAACCTCTAAGGCCGGCCAGGAGGGCACTAATCTCCGTTAGCGAAGAAGGCTGGTGGCTGCCTGCTGGCCTTGACCCTCACACTTTTCCAGTCTTGCCTGACCGGCCCCTCGAGCCAGGAGCCCTTCCCTTCGGCCGTCAGGTAAGTCGGCAAAGGGTCCGGGCAGGGGTTGAAGGCCGGGGTCCCTACTCGGCGCCAGGCTGCCATGGGGGAGGGGGGGAAGAAGGGGAGAAGCGCGGCTGGGAGCCGCCGAGGCCGGCAGGGTGGGTGGGGGAGGCTTGCACTGCTGGCCGCTAGAATGATCTCGAAACCCGTTTGAGAGCCTCCCGAGCCCAGCTCTGGCCACCCCCATCCCCCCGCAGCCTCCGCGTCCCCGCTCCGCCCCCTCCGCCCCCGCCCTCGCCTCTCAGACCGTGGATAAATCGGGGAGGCGAGCATGGGGAGGCAGAGCGCTCATGCCTCGCAGCAGGCTGGCCGAGCTCCTTTTCCACGGTCGTCCTTGATGGTGGCGCAGACTAGGCATCCTAGGCACGGAGCGGCCACCACGCGCAAGAGTCCGCCCGTGCCCAGCCCGCCTCTCCCCGTGCGCCCATCCGCAGAGGTCGGCGCCCTGGCTTGGTCCCCCGGCCACTGCGTGCAGCCCCGCGGCCGCCTCCACGCCGGATCGCGAAGAATGCTGGCTGGCCTTGATTCTGACACTTTTCCTGCCTGCTCGGTCCCTCGAGCCAGGAGCCTTTCCCTTCGGCCGTCAGGTAAGTTGACAGCGGGTCCGGGCGGAGGCTGGAAGCCAGGGTCCCGACTCGGCGCCGGGCTGCCGTAGGGGGCGGGGAGCGCGGCTGGGAACCGAGGCCAGCAGGGTGGGCGGGCGAGCCTTGCACTTCTGGCCACTGGAATGAGCTAGGAACCGGCGTGCGGGTACTAACACGCAAGCCTCGGCCCGCCCCGCTCGCCGTCCCAGGGAAAGCCTCCCAAGCCCGGCTCTGGCCACCCCTATCCCCGCAGCCTCCGCGTCCCCGCGCCGACCCCGCCCTCGCTTCGGAGACCGTGGATAAATCGGGGAGGCGAGCGGGGGAAGGAAGGAGGCAGAACGCGCGGGCGCCCGCAACATGCTGGTCGAGCTCCTTTTCCACGGTCGCTCCTGATGGTGGCGCAGAGGAGGCAGCCTAGGCACGGAGCGGCCACCACGCGCTAGAGAGTCCGCCAGGCCGTGCCGTGCCCTGCCCGTGTCTCCCCGCGCGCCCACTCGCAGAGATCGGCGCCCAGGCTGGGTCCCCCGGCCGCTGCGTGCAGCCCCGCCGCCGCCTCCAGGCCGGATCGCGAACTTGGCTGTTGGCTGCCTGCTGGCCTTGACTCTGACACTTTTCCGGGCTTGCCTGCTCGGCCCCTCGAGCCAGCAGCCCTTCCCTTTGGCCATCAGTTAAGTAGGCGGCGGGTCCGGGCGGAGGCTGGAGGCCGGGGTCCCAACTCGGCGCCAGGCTGCCCCGGGGGGGCGAGGAGCGCAGCTGGGAGCCGCCAAGGCCGGCAGGGTGGGCGGGCGAGCCTTGCACTACTGGCCGCTGGAATGAGCTCAGAACCGGCGTGCAAGCCTGGGCCTGCCTTGCACACTGTCACGGGGAATGTCCACCAGCCATCAGCGGCGTTTCAGCCAGGTCTTCGTGGATGCTGCACACTGAAGACTGTTTCCGGACTTGGAGGAAAAACTTTGCAGGCATACCCAACTCCACCAAGCCAGGCCAGATGAAAAGTTATTTTTCTGTTAGGTATTTCACAGAGTTAATTTCAGGCTGGCCGGGGTAGCTTGTGCTTCTTCTGTACTTAGCCCCTAGGATGCTAATTGCTGTGCTGTCCAAACTCATTTAGAGCCCATATTACTAGGCGTACCTGACAGCCTCCCTGGTTTCCAGCCAGTAGGAGTGAACAACTGTTAATGGCTTAACGTGCTGTTCACCCCAGAGCTCACAGGTACCAGGGCCACCAAAGCCCATCTATATTTTGAAACATCTAAGAGTTGACAGACAGGAGGTTCCTGTTCTTAGATGAACAGAACCCCTATTCTTTGAGGGAGGAACTATTTCCATAGTCACCTGCAATTTTATCTTATTTTTAACATTTCTAAAATAACTTTTTAAAAAGCCGTTGCTATTCTGGAAATAGAGTGTTGAAAGGTAGCTATAGTCACAGGGCGGAAGGGAAGGCAATGCAACCGTTCTCCCCTCTCTCAGGCTACAAGAAGCAGTCAGAGTCAGTGGCACATATAATATATACATATTTTTTAAAAGCGTTGAAGAGCTTATCTGACATTCCAGGAAAGCATTTATTTTGGTTTTTGAAGGTACTTTAAAAGTAGGTAGTCAGTTAAATGCATTTTACATAACAAAAAGAAAGCCCAAGGTAGCCTTCCTGGCTTTTATACTGCAGGAATCACTTGCTGTCCTTTGTTGGCAGAAAGCTGGATCCTGGAGTTTGGGGGGTGGGGGGGATACACTAGAAGTGCACCCTTACTAGCGTCCTAGCTGGAACCTAACAACTATTATTTAAGATTTGGCCTAGAACATTTATCACCTTAGGCGTCAGTGCAAGCATTTAGAGATGCATATTCCAGCCCTGAGAAAGGGGGTGCCTAATATTTTTGTCATTGATTTACAGTAATGATCTCTTTAGGTAATCTTCCATAAAAAAATAATTGCACATCACTTTTGTTATGAAGCAGAAGGGTGAATGCCATCTGTAGAGCTTCGTTTAATTGGCAGAATGTTCCAAATGTTTAATTTTAAGCATGAAAAGTCTAAGAATTTCCAAAACGCTACAAACCATTCAGTCTTATTAAGAAATCACACTTTTGCTTATTTATATTTTTAGTACTTCTGAAGCCTGGCCTATTACATAAGAACTCAGGTGATGCTCGTGCATTTTGTGTCAAAGAAGTTGCAGCTCTTAGGAAGTCATATTCTTAACATTCTCGGATCACACCTTTTTAGTGCTGTTTTAAATTGATTTGCCAATATTGCTATCGTTTAGGAAGGTGCTTCCTCATATTAAGGAAAACAAAATGCAAAAAAAAAAAAACCCCACTCATTATTGAGCATCTCATAGTAAAATATTGCTGTAAAAATTCTTGTTAGAACAACATCTGTAATAAATGCTTTCCCCGATTTAAGTAACTTCATTTCCTGGTGCTAAAGGTTTGGGAATGTGAATGGCTCTTCTAGTTCCCTCATGTCGTTCTCCTTGAAGTAACCCTCTTGGGCACGGCTAGTGCCATATTTAATTTTGGAGGACTGAACACTGCCATTCCTCTGCACCAGCTGTGCACAAGCACCCCACTTTCATTAATCCTCAGTGCTTGTTCTGCTCACTGTTTTGGAGACATGGGTTTTGTGATGAGCAGGACACTTGTTTTATTGGTGGGAGCATTTCCAGACAGTGTCTCACTCTGTCGCCTCGGCTAGCTTGAAACTTACTCTGTAGCCTAGGCTAGACTGAAATTCATAGGAGTCCTTCTGCCTCAGTTTACCCCGGCTGGATTGTATGTCTTAAGTCCCCATGCTCAGCTCTGACTGTGGATTTCATCTGCATTTCTTTCTAATAGTGGTGTTGTCCTTCTCAGAGCTCCTTAGCCACCTGTCTTTGCTGAAGAGCATTTACCTTTGCCCAGCTTTTAACCAGTGTCCTCTTTCTTGTCCCTTTTGCCTCCCTGTAGGACTGTGCTCCTGGGTACCACAGAGGGAAGCTCCCAGAAAGCAGTGCCTGGGGACCGCGCCCTCTACTGGCTCCTTGTGTGCCCTGCAGTTGCAACAACCACAGTGATGTCTGTGACCCGGAAACTGGGCAGTGTTTGGTATGCTTGCTTGTGTGGGAACTGACCTCAGTTTACAATGAGTGATCAGCGTGACCTGAAAGACAGCCAGGAACCAGGCAGACCCTCCAGCTGGTCCTTGCCACATTGCTACCGCCATCGCAGTCTCAAAGACATTGAAACCTCCTCCTTCTCCTGTCACTGGGAAACTGGCAGGGTTTGTTTCTGTGTCTCCCTCAGCCATGGATGCCTCCCTCACTCTAGTCCTCAGTAGCTGGTCCTTGTTTCTCCGCTACTCCCTGGGGTGGCTCGTTCTGTAGGACAGCAGGCCCCAGGAAGCCAGGATCCATGGTCTGCTAAGGGAAGCACTTCATGCTTGTTCATGGGGTTGACAGTCAACAGGGCCAACGCCTAGAGCTGTTTCCATCTTAGCTCGTCATCTAGTACTCGGCCCTTGTCTGTGTTGTGCCGTGTTGATGAAACGAGTATTTATTACAGTTTATTTTTGAAGAGATTGCAGATAGTTCTTCTGAAGGGAGATCTATTTGGGAGATCGAGCGGATCCTAATTAAACCTATCTTTAGCAGATGAAGCAGGAATAAAACTTAAATGAAAGGGCTCAGATGTTTTCTATTTGCAAAGAGTCTATAAAAATAGGTTTTTTAAAAAATATTTATTTGGGCCGGGAGGTGGTGGCGCACGCCTTTAATCCCAGCACTCAGGAGGCAGAGGCAGGCGGATCTCTGTGAGTTCGAGACCAGCCTGGTCTACAAGAGCTAGTTCCAGGACAGGCTCCAAAGCCACAGAGAAACCCTGTCTTGAAAAACCAAAAAAAAAAAAAAAAAAAAAATTTATTTGGTAGCGATTTCTCGCTCCATCATTTCTTGCTACCAAGGGGGCCTTGGTAGATCAGGGGTGACCGGCTGCGCAGGGTCTCTGCTTTGCTGTTGTTCCTCCTTGGCTGCATCATACGCGGAGCCCTGTGCACTGCAGCCAAGCCAATAGTGAGGGAATAGCAAGGTCTCCTAAGAAGTGGGTATCAGGGAATAGGGAAAGGTTTTTACTTTCATTCTGTGACTGTTAGAAGCAAGCACTCCCCCAGTAGTGTTCTCTGCTGCTCTCTGCTGGAGGAGGAAGTACTGGCACACACTGAGACCGTGGGGGTAGACTTTAGAGGGGATACTGAGACAGCTATAGCCAGGCCCAATTCTAGATGAGCCGTGGCACTGTAAAGGTTCAAGTGGTGGGAAGGCATGATGCCTCGGACACTCTGAGGCTCGGCTCCTCCTTTCCCTGTTGACTTGCTGAGTTTCCGTTACTATAGGAGAATTGTAGCTCCCCTGCGGCTGGAGTGAGAATGAGGTGTGTGGTGCATGGAGCCCCGCTGTGTGTTCTCTTTATAACACCCTGACTCGGTCGCACAGTGTTCAAAGGCTATTTGCATTAGCTTTTGTTTTCTCCCTGTTTTCTCTTCAAGCCTTGATGATGATTCTGTGGGCGCCTCGCTCAATGACCTGGATACTATTGGGGATGCTGTTCTGTCTCTGAACCTCACTGGCGTTTCCTCTGCTCCATATGGAATCTTGTCAAGTCTGGAAAACAACTAAATATTTCCAGGTAGGTACTAAGGGTGTGGAGATGGTGGACAGAAACACCTGTCTCTGAGAGAGAAGGAGTATGGGGGTGGTCATTTGTCTGCCCTGCCTTTCGATCCCCCATGGGTGTCAAGTGACAGTGTCTTCATCCCAGACCTCACCAGGGTCTCTGTGGAGCTCTGATGGAGCTGCTTCATGGACACCTCCTTGTACTTTCTGCCCACGGATTTTGTCCCACTCTCTAGAAGTCGGCAGCAGCCCTCCTTCCTCTTTGACAGACCTTTGGGTATTTGAAAAAGGTATCCAGATACAAATACTAGGAGTAAATCTGTCCCGTATCCTTGTTAATGCTGGTTTATGCCAAACATGAGTATTTTCTGTTATGTGTTGCTATTTTAACTGGAGTTCAAGGATATAGGATATAAAAATAGTCTTCCTCTGAAGATGGTTTAAGTCTCAAAGGGTCAATCTTTTGTTTGTGTTTTATCAAAAGATCTGACCAAAAGGAGAGTAAAGTTAAGAAATTGAATCATAGACAGTACCTTCTCTGGAATGTTAATTTAATTGGAAAATATTGCTAAATTTTACTTTTTACCTTCACATTACAATTTACAATAATCTATCCACCATGACATGCAGTAGGACAATGGATGGTCATTACTAAAAAGTATTTTATAGAAGGAGGCCCTTCTTGTGCGTGCTCACCCCCCAACACACTTACACTCAAACATACTCACACACACTCACATTCACACACATTATTACACACAAACTCAGTCACACATTCACATACAGTCATACACACACATTCACACACTCACATAGACTCACTTTTAGACACACTGATGCACATACACTCACACACTCACATTCATGCACATTCACACACACTCATACTCTCAAACTCACACACACACTCTCAAACTCACACACACATTCACACACATATACTCACACACATTCATACACTCACACACACTCACACATTACCATACACACACTCACAGATTCATGCTCACACACACTCACACATTACCATGCACACACTCACACTGGTGCTGAGGAGGAGCTTATGGACTCTAAGAAATATTTTTATATTACTTTTTATCAAATAGCAAAATGGGCTTTTGAAAGATGGGTGATTCTGCATTCATTAAGAAAATCCTACAAAAAGAAAGGAAAGAAAAAGACATTCTAATATCTGCTCCAGCCATCATCTACACAGTCAATAAATGCTGTGCCCTGCCAGTTAGGTCCCAGGGATAGTACTGTACTTTAAATTTATCAGGTGAAGTGCATAGTTCGTTCAGACTGGAACTAACCTTGAGTGGTTTACTCTAATGCAGTCCATTCATCCATCCCCTTAACAATGCTTTGTGTTCGTACCCAATACTCTCCGGAGGGCAGGAATGTGAACTGAATTGTTTCTATTTTTTACCAACAAGAGTGAAATTGGACAAGGTAAATACACTTTTTCTAAATAGTAATGTAGCTATTTCATAGCACTGTGAAAGGTTTGCATAGCTAAATAAGAGGTTAGGTTGTTGGGATGGATTAAACACTTAATTACAAATAATCTTAAAAATCTTTTCCTTATTGAATACGTTTTAATTTTCTTAGTAAGTACTTTCTTGTGTATTGACAATTATAGTTAATATTTATAATGTTGACACTGAAACCAAGCAGTATTTGGTCTATGATGCCATCTGTTCGGAGTCTGCTTACTAGACCAGAGTTTGAATTTATGAGAGCAACCCAGAAAGTGATAGCAAGGAATAACATTGCTGTCATTGACAGTTGGTGATGAATGAGTGAGCCCTTTTGCTTTTAAGTAACTATTAAAAGCAATTACAAAACCCAGTGCCATTGTCCTTGACTTCTCAGTCAGCCCTCATTGTCAGCCACATTCAGAGAGTCCGGTTTGATCACATGCTCATTCAGTCCCAGTCTAGCTGCCTTGGTGAGCTCCCATTAGATTAGTCCCGCCGTCTCAGTGGGTGGAAGCACCCCTCGCCTTCTGCTCTTCATTTGGACCTTGAGAACTCAGTCCAGTGCTCCAATGTAGGTCTCTGTCTCTATCTCCATCCATTGCCAGATGAAGGTTCTATGGTGATAATGCAAGATATTCATCAGTGTGGCTATGGGATAAGGCCAGTTCAGGCACCCTCTCCTCTGCAGCCCAAGGAACAAGCTGGGGACATCTCCTTGGACACCTGAGAACCCCTCTAGAGTCAAGTCTCTTGCTAACCCTAAAATGGCTCCCTTAATTAAGATATCTTCTTCCCTGCTCCCATATCCACCCTTCTTCCACCTCAACCATGCCATTCCCCCAAGCTCTCCCCAATCCTCCCCTTCTCCCTTCTCTCTCCCAACCCCAGCCCCATCCCCGTACTCCCAACTTTTGCCTGGAAATCTTGTCTACTTCCAATATCCAGGAGGATAGATTTTACTGCATGAACTGGCTTTGTGGGAGCCTAGTCGGTTTAGATGCTCACCTTCCTAGACCTGGATGGAGGCGGGAGGACCTTGGACTTCCCACAGGGCAGGGAACCCTGACTGCTCTTGGACTGGAGAGGGAGGGGGAGTGGAGGGAGTGGGAGGTAAATGGGAAGAAGGGAGGAGGTGGAAATTTTTAATAAATTTAAAAAAAGCAATTACAATGTCTTTCTGTAAACCAAAAAGCAATTAGCCCATAATTCTCTGAAGAATGGAATATTTTAATGTGATACAGTAAACAATGTAATATTGCTTATTTTTTTCCCCCTTAGAGGTATTTATTAAAAGAAAATGCTAAGAAGATTCAGGCAGAAATTCAGCTTGAAGGTGTTGCAGAACAAACAGAAAACCTGCAAAAGGAGGTAAGTTCTTTGCAAAAAAAAAAAAAACAAAAAAACCCAGCTCCAGCCTCTCAGGCAGCCCCCAGAAGCCTTTTGGTTCTCACCAACCTCCCTGGACAGCCCTGGGAGCCATCAGGTCTTCTCTATCTTCATAGGGCTGTTGGCTGCTTGTTCTTCCTGGCCACCCGGCTAGCTTAGACCCAAAATAATCACACAGAAACTGTATTAATTAAATCACTGTTTGGCCCATTATCTCTAACTTCTTACTGGCTAACTCTTACATCTTAATTTAACCCATTTCTATTAATCTGTGCATCACCAAGAGGTCATGGCCTACCAGCAAAGTTTCAGCACGTCTGTTTCCTGAGGCTCCATGATCTCTCTCTGACTCCGCCCTTCTTCCTCTCAGCATTCAGCCTAGCTTTCCCTGCCTACCTAAGTTCTGCCTTGCTATAGGTCCAAAGCAGTTTAGTTTCTTTATTCATTAATGGTAATCACAGCACACAGAGAGGACTCCCACATCACAGGGCAGCTCTTGGGAGCCTTTGGGTTCCATCTGGTGGGTTTCAGGAGGCCCCAGATGTCGATCATCA